CCCGCGCCCGTCCTCGTCCGCAGAGTCCTTGCGGCGGCAGACGGAGGTTGCCGAAACGCGCGAGGCACCAGAATGCGGAAACGGCGTCAAGGCGCGCGGTCGCGGAGGGACGGGAAAGCCCCGTGGACTTTGACGCGCTGCATATGGCTCCAGACTGCTGGAGCAAAGGCTCGCGGTGGAGTTTCGTACCAGCAGCGCAGGAGTAGCAGCTGTAAAATACACCTAGCTTGGTGCTGGGCTGTGACCGAATCGTGCTCTTTGCTGCCGAGGTAAAACCCCAGATTATCATTTAGCAGCGTGAAGATAAAATGCCTCGTCCTTGATGGCAGGCGGGGGTTCTCCACCAACCTGGTAGTTTGAAGAGGGAAATGCAACCATCAGCCTGCTCTGCCAGGTGGGAACGTGTTGTATTTTCAGCGTCTCATCTGTCGGGTGCTAACCTCTATTACACGTGGGTGCCGCTGACATTTTGTAGTTACTTGAGGTTTTCAATGTTCTTACTGATAATTGTTCACCAGACTTCACTTGGACAAACCCAGCTGATGTCTTCACCTTGCTCCATCAATAATAATCCCTTTGCAAACGAGAAGGAAAAGCCTCTGGTCCCCGAAGGTCCCTTGTGTGGGGTGCTGGCACTGCTGCAAGAGGAAGGCTGTTTGCACCGGCTCTGTGATCTGACCCGGTTGTGGAGTCTCCGTCTCTGGAGATACTCCTGGTCGGATGCAAACCACGCAGTCCTGGTGTCTCCTGGCCGGTAGACTCGCTGGTGCCCATGTTGGTAAACGCCAGCGGCTGCGTGTTGCTGTGGGCTGTTCGCTGGCTTCTGGCTCTGAGAGGGTTCCCTGAAGCTGCGGGGACGAGCACCACTCAGCTGGCCAGTGTCTGGGCACTGAAAAGGTTCCGTTATTATTGCTGTTGTGGTGGGGTTTTATTATTATTTTATGTAAGGATGACCTTAGGTGTTCAAACTAACCATTCGTGTAGCCCAGCTCTTTTCAGCTCGGGGGATTTCTGAGCCAGTTTGTGTTTGTCTGTATTATAATTCCCGATTTACCTCTTATTCCCACAGCTTGCCCGGTTTCCCTTTGACTCTGAAAACTGCCAGCGTTCACAACATCCCTCGGCAGGGAGTTCCACAGGTCTGTTTCCTGAAAAAACACCTCTTTTGGTTTGTTTTGAATCTGTTTCCTGACTTTGCTGGTGGCCGCTAGCTCCATGGTGTTGGAAGTGGCTGCGAGCAGCCTCCCCAGCTCACCCTTTCTCCCTTCCCTCCGCCAGTCCCCGTGCTTGGAGGGCTTGGCTCCACGCTCAGCAGCTCTTCCACGCACGGCTGCCTGCGTGCGGTGAGCTGCCGCTTCTCCAGTCGCACCCCAAAATCGTAACGGACGCTCTTTCTCCGACAGCACCAGGATGGCTGTTCTCTCAAAGGAGTACGGCTACGTCATGCTGACTGGGGCTGCCAGCTTTGTCCTGGTCATGCACCTCGCCGTGAATGTGGCCAAGGCCCGCAAGAAGTACAACGTGGAGGTGAGTGCTCAGGCTGGGGGAACAGGGGGGTCGGAGCCGGTCTGCAGGGGGTGTTGCAGACGAGCGAGGTAACACCTTGCTTATGTTTGGATGACTGGCTGATATTTCCTGCCCTACCAAACCGAAGGGATGGAGCTGCCATTCTGGCTCTCCAGACTGGAGCAGACGGCGGGTCAGAGCTTGGGCTTTGGCAGATCAGGCGCTTGGCACCGAGCCGGCTGAAAGCGCAAGGCTTTGAGCTCGGCCACACTGACGATGAAGAAACCGCGCAGTCCGCTTCCCTGCAGACCGACGCAGCGCCGGGGGCAGAGGGCGGTAGGGCAGAAGTGACAGGAGGGTTTCTCAAGCTCTGAGGGAGCACGCGAGCCCGGTCACAAGAAGTGTGACCAAGGGACCTTCCCGTAGTGTCTGTCGAGGGGCGCGCCGGGGAGGCAGGGCGACGGCAGGTGGAGGCTGCTGTGCCCCTTGCTCCTTGCCCGCTCGGGGAAGCGGGAAGCAGGGGTGGGTGCAAGAGCAGCCCCGGGTGCCTGCTGGGCTGACCCCACTCCTCCTGCACGAGGTCAGGATGGCAGCAGACCTGCCCGGTGCGCGTGGTGCACGGGATTTCAGGCTGGATTCTCCCCAGAAGTCTCTCCACTCGCACTTCTCCCTCCGCAGCCGAGGGGCAGCTCCTGCCACCTGCTCAGCTCTGTGGTGGGGAGAAGGCAGAGTCCTCCCAGCCTGTTCCTGGGAGGAGAATTAAACAGGGAGGTCACGCAGTACCTGGCTATCTTCTGTTTGAAGCGGGGCCAGCTCCAGGGTGCCGTCAGGCTGCTCAGGAGCTGCCCTGGCTCAAGCAGCAATTTCGATGAAGCACTCCGGGGCGCAGGGCGGGAGGCAGGCTCTAACTTGCCAATGCAAGACAGCCTGGTGACACCCAGGCAGCTCTGGGCTCCCTGGGGAGAGGTGCTGCAGGGCACGCTCCTCGCTGCTGGAGAACGCCCGCCTCCCACGCCCAGACTGTGCCCGCTCACACTTTGCTCCTGGTTTATTATTTTTTTTTGGCAGTATCCAACCATGTACAGCACAGATCCTGAACACGGGCGTGTATTCAACTGCATCCAGCGCGCGCACCAGAACACGTGAGTACCACACGTGGACGCGGACTGTGGAAATCCACAGGGCTGTGGAGCAGGGCCTGCAGTTGGAGACTCGCTGCCGCCAGATGCTTGGGTTCAGGCTCGACACCCGAGGAAAACGCATGGCTGTGTCGGGCTTAGCAGTACGGCCGTGCCAGCTCCTCATCCTGCCTTAATCCATGAGATGGGGCTGTGAAGCGGCCTCCTCCTCCTCCCCAGTGCCCAGCTCTTGGCCACCACATGTGGATCTTAAGACACTAGAAATCTTGTCTCCAGCAGAGCCTGTCTGGGGGCTCTGGGGTTAGCTGGTGGTAAGTAGTGTTTAGCAGTGGCTCAGGGCACCAAATAGGTGGCCTTCCTTGGAGAGAGGCACAAGCAGAGGGAAAGTCCCTAAAAGTCTACACATGTTCAAACTCCCTCTTCTATCCATCTGTGGCCGCAGCGTGGAACAGCCAGGCCCAACAGAGACCTTGGCCGGGGACGCTCGCAGCTTCTGTGTTTCTGGAGTTTCCTCTTTGTAAGCAGCTTGAGGACAAACACCACATCCTCGCTTTCACTTTCAGGTTGGAAGTTTACCCCGCCTTCCTGTTCTTTTTAGCCACCGGTGGAGTCTTCCACCCGGTAAGTGACGCTACGGCACAGGTCTGCAGGACCGAACTCCACTCTTGCTCCAACATGGGGAGGGTGGGGGGCAGCAGGCCGAGCCCCTCTGGAAGCAGCAGCATTTCTGAAAACGTAGGTGTCAAAGGTCTTGTGCAGGGGAACCACGAGTATTTAAAAACTCATTACTGCTGCTCCAGCTTTAGTCCCCTTCGGGTGCCTTGGTGGACAAACCGAAGCCTTCACAGCCTCCAGGCCCTGAGTGGGGAGGGTCCCTCCATCCCTGCCTGGTTCTTCCACCCTCTAGGGTCCTGCTGGGCCTAAAGCTGGTTGGGTGGAGGACAGGAACCCTTTCTCCCCCTTCTAAGCACACTTCCATGAGGATTTTATCTGCTAAGAATAGGTGGGGAACATGGTGATCTTCCCACTCACTGCCACCACCAAAGGAGGAGGGTGAAGGACCGAAAAAAGCCTGGATTATTTTTAACTGAAATATGCAGACAGCTCCCGAGGAGGCAGGCATGTGGGAGAGGCCACAACCAGATGCTCTTTCTTTGCCACCAATAGACAAATCAGGTCCTTCTTTAATATTCCTTTCCAGAGAGGGAAGGAAGGAGCACAGGCAAATCTGGCAAAGGGGAGCCACCGTGCAGCAAGCTCTAAACGAAGAGGCAAGGCGGAAGTGTGTACCACCTGCAACAGGAATAGCTGTAGGCCTGCTGGAGGCAGGGGAGTGGGGCTTGGGGCAACTGCTGCCTCCAAGATCCTGGCCCTTGGTCTAGCTCACGAATTGGACAGTGGTGAAATGAGATTCGGCACCTGCTGCCTGCATGACAAACCATCTCTTGCTCGGGCACAACAGCAAGGCTCTGCAGCACATCACAAGCTAGCTCCCCATATGCGTCACGAAAGCGACTCCTCCTGTACAAAACCTGCCCTCGCACACTCCATCGGTCCCATCGGCTAAGCGCATGCAAGCAGCAAGTCTCCAAAACCTTTAATGCTTTTCCTTTCTCTCCAGCGGATTACCACAGGGCTTGGCATCACCTGGATCCTGGGGAGAATCCTCTACGCCTACGGCTACTACACAGGAGGTGGGTCTTGACCCTGCAGAACAGAAGGTGCTTGGGAACTACAGCGGCCTCGGGGCTCTTTCCTCCAGCCCAGGGGTGCAGGTCCACAGGCTGCTAACTGCAGTAGGCTCTTACTGCCGATAGGAAGGGTGCTAATCTAGTGATAGCACCGACCGAGGGTAGGTACTGCGTCCGAGCTGTGCTGCCTGCTCTTTTGCCTTGAGTTTCATCTCTAGCTCCCGCTCCCTGCAGTTTTCAGGATGGGCCAGTCCTTCAGCGACGGGCTCCTGAACTGACAGAACCTGTCTTGTTTTCTTTCCAAGAGCCGAAAAACCGAAGGAGAGGGGCCATCAGTTCAGTGGCACTGATTGGGCTGGTGGGCACAGGCGTGCATTCAGCTTGCCAGCACCTCGGCTGGATCTGCCAGCACTAACGGAGCATCACGATGGCTGCCTGGGAAACTAAAGAGATTTTTGATTTCTTTCAGAACATTTCATTTCCTGTTTTTCTTTTCTTGTCTCCTCATTCAATAAAATGAAGTTGTCAATTCTGTACTTTCATTCTAAAGTTATAGAGGGTTTTCTTAAGAAGATTTGCAGAATGCTAGAATGACACTGGGTTTGTAGGCCTACAGAAATCTGCCCGTTGGGCAGAGATGTCCCAGCTTTTATGATTTTGATCACCGAAAAGCCATCATACAACCGTTTAACCCATACAGCCGCAGCCCTTATCGAGACCTCTCAAGTCACATCACTGCAATAAGACGTTCCAGAACAGAGTTAATATTTATTCAAATACTAAAAAAAGATGCAGGCAAACATTTGAAGTTGTTGCTTCATCACGTTTATAAAGAACAGTAGGCCTATAGGAAAGAAGTCAAATAGCTTTCTCTTAAGAAAGGTAGCACTCTATCCTACGCTGAAGCTTGCTGCCACTCTGGTTGTGCTCCGTACTCTGTGGGTGGAGATGATTCTCAGGGCTACGCCTGTCCCAGGCAGCATCAGCTCACCATCCCCACAATGTTCTGTCCCACCTTGGAAGTGAGGTACAGACAGAAAAAACAAAAATTGTGTTTAAAAGGGGACTTGAGGGAATAAACAATCCTGCCCTTCCGGCTTTTATGTAGTCAGAGAACAGACAGAGCCTATAGGTACAGGGTATGAGCGTGTCCAAGAGCTCAGATGTGCACTGAGTAGGATCATACCTGGTAAGAAGCCAAAACTGAAGTTGACCGAGGGTAGAAGGCAATGGGGTTCCAGGCATGCAGCAGGTGAAACCGCCTGGGCTGGGCCTCTGCCAACACCTCTGTAGCCACACACGCTGCTGCTGCAAGCTGTAGTGCCACCTCCTACTCTGAGGTTCCCAGCTTCCACCAGACAGGACAGAGCAGGCCCACAGGCTGCGCCCTGTGTGTACCCCCCCGGCACTTACAATGTTAGAGCACTTTATTGCTGTGTACATGATCCACATCTCTGGCTGACGGGCAAGAACCAGCTGACGCTCCCCTGAGCAGGCCCCAGAGCCACTAAAACACAGACTCCACATCACCCATCTCCACACAGACAGTCTTCAGCTGCGAGTAGTACTCAATGGCTGCCCGCCCGTTCTCTCTGCCAAATCCTGCAGGGACAAGCCAGAAGTGAGAACACAGCCCCAGGCAGTGCCACATACCGCTCACACCCCACCGCAACCAGCACGTAGTCATACCCGGGAGAACAAGCCACACGCTCAGAGCAAGTGCACCTCACAGTAGCACTTCTGATCATGCCCAGAGTAATAACTGGACAGGCTCAGCTGCAAGCAAGGCTGGGTAAAATAAAGCTCGCCTCCTTGCTTTCTCAGCACAAAGCTGCAGCCATTCCCCAGCTTCCCCTTCAGCTACCAGCATGGCATTCACTCCTTAGTGGCACAGCAAAGTGCCTCTTTGGCATTGCTGCCCCAGCAAGAGAACACCCACACCCATCATCAGCAAAACAGGCTCACCCCTGAGTGCAGGAGGGCCGAGCCCAGGGGAGGCCAAACAGAGCTCACCTGATGCCTTGTATCCTCCGAAAGGCAGCTCCACAGGGCTGACGTTGTAGTTGTTAATGAAGCACATGCCAGCCTTGAGAGCAGCCACTACCCTGTGAGCCTTCTGGATATCCCTGCAGGAAAAGGGCAATTCGGCTAGATCCCTTCCCGCTCATCCCCTCCTTCCCTGCAGCTAACATCCCACAAGAGAAAGGCCAGCAGGTCACAGTGGTTTTTGGAGCCTGCCCTGCCCTACTGTGTCTTTGCCCGCTCAGAGGATGTAGCGCCTATTCCCAAGGACGCTCAAAACCACGTTTGATTTGAGAGGGCAGGACAAGGACACCAACAAAGCAGACTGCGGCAAGCGGCCAACAGCCATCTTTGCGAGCTTTCAGCAGCATGGCAGGCTCCTGGTGATGCAGGAAGGCAGGCAGCAGGCCAAGCGCAGGCTGGAAGGAGTCTGAAGGACAGCTGGGCCCACCTAACCCCTCAGGAAAATCTAGGAGGAGACGCGCAGTCAGCTACAAAGTTCCCTTTTGGCAATCCTTTGCTCCAGCTTTTCTGGGAGGGGATATTCGTGCCCATGCCAGGCACCGCAAGAGGAGCATCAAGCTGCTGCAGTATTTCCCTTCTGCTCCCCTCCCTAGACCGCTTCCATGCTACCCAGTCATACCTGGTGAAGACACCACCTGCCAGGCCGAATTTGGTGTTGTTGGCTCTCTCCACAACCTCCTCCTCCGTGTCAAACGGCAGAATGGACATGACAGGCCCAAAGATCTCTTCCTTCACACACGTCATGTCATCTGTGCAGTTCCCTGGAAGCGTGGCAGAGCACATGTGCTTCAGGAGGAAGAGTCAGCAGAACAGCCCGTGCGTTCGGCAACCCACACAGCCCTCGAGACAACACTCGGCACTGTGCAGCCCCACCAGCTTGGCTAGCAGAGGAGCGAGTCCCCTCCTGCATCTCAAGGCAGCAAAGGCTCTAACTGCACGTGCCCCGTCAGACCCTCCAGCAGCAGAGATTTCTCTGGACGCTGTTCCTAGGTGCCCCGGTTCTCTCTAGTACACCCACACCAGCGCCTGTCCACATGGTGGATGTACACAGAGATGGGTTACGCTGAACATGGCTTTCCCTAGAAGAAACTCAGCAACATCCACGTAGAAGACTGCAGTACCATACCTAACACACAGGGTCGCATGTAGTAGCCGTTCTTCAGCTTCGGGTCATCTGGCACATACAGGTCCCCACCACACAACACTTCTGCCCCCTGAAAAAGAGCCAAGCAGAAGGTAGGTGGGCACATCCAGGGCCATCCTGCCCAGCTGCCACAGCTCTAGCTGGCCGATACTCCCTGATGGGTTTACAGTTCTATCAGACAAACCGTGCCTGTGCCCTCCCTGGTGTCTCTCCCAGGTCAGGATTGCTGACAAGAGCATCACTGATAGATCAGGATCTGGAGGCGAGACCCATCCTAGAAGTCCAAACAATGCTAGTTTGGGGTGCAAGTGCCACAGGAGCCAGTGTAGGCTGGAGGGAAGCAACCACAATGAGGAGCAGATCCTCAGCTGACATCGCATTAACAGCCACATCTTCACATGATGTGAATTCCCTTATTAGCAAGTCAATCAGTCCCTTCACACTCCACCTGGCAAGAAACACCTACCTCCATCAAATGCCCCGATTCAGAGATTGGGATTTCTCCTCTCCATCCTCATTCCTCTTCCTGTTTCCACATCCTCATGTAGCCCTCCTGGCTTTCACACACAGCTCCCCTTCCCCAGCCCATCCCCAAACTGGCAATACCTAGTCACCTATCTAGCACTGACATTTAAAGCATCTTTACACTTTACAATAAAATCTGGAGATAAAACAGAAGTGCCTGGTTAGATCTTCTTGCTCTTACAGAGACTGTTTCCAGCAGCCTGTAAATTTGGCCTTTGATCCTTCCTTAGCTTTTTCTGCAACCAACAAAACTGGAACCCAAATGAGCTAACAGCCCAGTGTGCAAGGTGTCATCAAAACTTTTAGAAGAGAAACCAGCCCAAATGTATGGATTCTCTCATTTTACATGCTGCTGTGCTGGGTATCTCGCAACCTCTAAATCTTGGCAACATGAGAATATGAAAAACAACGTCACTTTCAATGTCAACTTAGAGATGTGCACTGAGTCACTTTTAATCTAGTGGCCCAAGACACCTATCGAGTAATTCAACTACAACAACAAAACAAACAGCTTAACTAGAAAGGCACAGGGCAGGAAAGCAGCTGCTGGTCTGTTTGTCTAACAAGAGAGAGACACTTTTCAGGGCAGTCACAAGGCAGCATCACAATCTCACCTGCTCCTTCGCCTGCTTGATAAAGCCCTGGACACGATCTAGGTGGGGCTGGTTGATGAGGGCTCCCATCCGCGTGTCTTCTAGAAGCGGGTCTCCAACTTTAATTTTCTGGGTGCGTTTCACCATCTCCTTTGTGAAGACATCCAGTATCTTCCTCTCCACAAACACCCGCGTGCCATTGCAGCATACCTGGGATGCAGGACAGGCTGCTCAGAGTAAGATACATGGCACTCCACAGTCCTTGCCTGCTCAGGTCCTGCTTACAGAGGCTCTCAGAAAAGCCCCTCTACAGCTGCTAAATCAGCTAACTTGTCCCTGGGGACACAGCAGACTAGACTACCCTGCTGCTCATCGCTGCGGTGAACAGTCCGTGCTGGACTTATTGTTACTGATGCCACGAGGTAGCAAAAGCACATCAAGTCACCAGCAGGAGAGAGCTTTGGTAGCCATTTCAGTTCCCAGCGATGATCCCAGTAAGCCAATTTGCCAGTAAGATTACACAAAACCTGCAGCACATGTGGAGATCCCAGATCTGGGACGGACAGAGTCCCACAGGGCTGCGGCTCAGCGTGCCAGACTGGAACCTTATGCCCCTCCAGAGGACACCAGCACAGCCTCTTCTGACCTCTGTGGGCCAGACTGGAACCCAAGGCACGGGAGCATCTGTGGAGCTGGGAACCGGTTGCTAGAGAGGCTCCAGTTCCAGGAAGCACAGGGCATCAGCTCAGGCACACTCCACTGGGACACCCCGCGCTGGCTTCTGCAAGGGGTTCCCTCCTGATCCCTTCTGACACTGCACAGGGACACGTGTGGCACGACGGCAGCTTCAGGGCATCCCTCACTAAGCCACGTCGCAGGCTGGCTCTGCAGCCCCATTCTCAAAGCACCCCACCTCACTGAAGAGGATCGCTCCTGCCCCATGGACACAAACCTCGCCCTGTGTGAGGAAGTTGGCCATGAGGGCTCCGTTCACAGCGTTCTCCAAGGCACAGTCCGCAAAGATGATAAGGGGGGATTTGCCCCCCAGCTCCAGGGTGACTGGTTTGATCCCTTTAGCTGCCATCTCCATGATCTGAGGGAAACAAGGACCGAAGAGGCAAGTCACCACTGGTAAATGGGAGGCTGGTGGAGAGAGGTAAGAGACACCCAAGGGGAGGGTTCCCACAGGGCCCTTCACCAACAACAGAACCAGCATGAAGGGCAAGCTGGGTTTCCTACATGTGTTTAGCTCAGACTGGGAACAGTCTCAGAGGATTCGGTTTTTTAACCCATAATAAAAGATAAAAGCAACAGAAACTGAGGAGCCATTTGCAGGAAGTCTCGTGCTCAGCATAAAGCCAGAGGACAGCTGTAACTGCACCTGTGACACTGCACCCCACAGGTACCCGCACGTGAGGAGAGTTCAAGTGGCAACATTTCCCCTCTTTCAAATCAGAATTTATTTTTAAAAGGCTTTTTAGGGATTTGTTGTTTTTTTTTAAGACTAAACTGAGGGCAAGAAATTCACAGAAACTAACCTCCTGCTTAAAAACAGGTCATAGGCAGCTAGGTTGAACTACTACTGCCAGAAATGCTTGCACATTTGCCCAGTGCTGCTCTGTTCTTTGTACCCTCCTCCCCATGCAGATACCCACTTTAGCAGCCCAGAGGCTTCACTGCAGCCAGTGGCTGAACAAGTGAAGACGACCAAGGGGATCCTCTGAAAGAACCGAGTGCCCAAGCCCATGCCCAGTGGGCTCACTGGAGCCCCAGTATAACCCTGTACGTGCAAGCTGCTTGCTCAGACACAGAAATGCCGACTTGCAGCCCATCTTTACAAGCCTCACACACAAAAGCTCAAGGAGGTATCGATGTCTGCAACACACCAGGAAGGCTAGACACTACCTATCCCGAGCGCAAAGGTGCCTTTACCTTGATGCCAGTCGGCACACTGCCAGTGAAAGAGATTTTGGCCACATCTGGGTGATGACAGAGGAACTGGCCTGTGGCCACCCCACCCTGCACCACATTGAAGAGGCCCTTGGGCACACCGGCCTCTGTGAAGATCTCTGCCAACCTCACCACCGAAATGGGGGTGAAGGGAGAGGGCTTGAAGACCATCGCATTGCCTAGGGGAACCCAGACAGAGAAAAGGTGGGGTTAACAGCCAAACTGCTTTAGCAAAAAGAAGAACAACCAAACAAAAAAACCCCACCCCGCACCCCAACACATCCCAGAACAACCCCCACAAAAGAGGAGGAAACGGTTTCAGCTGAACACTGCAACCAGTAAAAGGGAAGAACGGCACCTTCCTGCTGGGAAGGGCTGGGGGAGGTGGGGCTGCTGGTCCCACACTGCAGAGGTTTCCAGAGACTTTCCTCGTCTGATACAAGGCCAAGCAGTTAGGCTTTTTCCTGATACGCTCCTGCCCTCTTGGCATCTGCTGTATTCCCACTTCCATTTCCTTTCCCGTCCTGGCAGAGTAACAGCCTGAAGGTTCTGCTAATCCTTCAACACCTCCTTCAAGGTAATCCTAGACTTTATCCCCAAAATCACTCTCCTCTACAGGACCATTTGGCTTCAAAGAGAAGCTTGTGTGGGCAGAGAGTCTCCATTACCACAAGCCAAGGCCGGGGCAGACTTCCAACAGGCAATCTGGAAAGGGTAGTTCCAGGCTCCAATCCCAACACACACCCCGAGGGGCTCTCTCCGAGTGTACCCAAAGGATCCCCCGGGAAGCTGGATGTGTTCACCTGCAAAGAAGAAAAACAGCCAGAAAGTAGAGAAGAGCAAAGCCTCTTCCCATCTTATCCGAGCCTCAGGGGCCAGATCTCACAAGAGACACACGACTTTTACCCCAGCAACATCACAGCAAATGCGTAAGTGCCCACAGAGCATGGCAGCATTAGGCAGAGATCTCTGAAAATCCTTCCAAGATCTTCAGAAAAAGGAGTAGCCCATCTCTTTGAGAAATCAACTGCAAAGATGGCCTTGTCCCATGGAAGTTACCAGGAAACACAAGTGGTGAGACAGAGAGTAAAGAGCAAACTCCAGTAACGTTCTCACCAGCTAGAGATCCTGCCAGTCCTGCGTAATACTCCAGGCACTGCCAGGATACATCAATGTCCACTCTGGCTTCAAAGATGGATTTCCCATTGTTTATGGTTTCCAAGGTGGCAATTTCTTCTCTCTGCTCCTATGAGAGGCACAGCGCAGTGACAACACGTTAGAGAAGCCTGTAGTAGAACTCCACAAGGAGACAGCGGCTTCCCAAGCACGCAAGTCCCAAATAAGGCTCTGCCATCAGTAAGCCAGGCTCTGCCATGAGAAACTGTCATCTCTAGAAGGTGCATTCCCAACTGCCATTTATCAATTTCCCAGCGGCGACCGATCACAGGGGAACGTCAAACAGACAGCCACTGGCGTCCACTGCTGGTCCAGTCTTGCTTAACAGCCCTGTTTATCTAAAAAATCAGCAAACTTGAACCGAGAAGCTGACTGGTAAACAGCGACTAGGATTCACGGAACTAAACTGGGAGGAACAGCAAACAGCAAGATCAAAACGGAACAGGAAGGCTTGGTGAAGGACGGACAAAGCAACGCAGCTGGGAAGCGTCCCTTAATGGACCGCCTCCCAGGCAGAAATATTACCCTGCCGCACAAGTCTGGCAGAATGAAAATACACCCTAGGGGAAGGAGGTCTGGGTTCTTACAGATCTGTGCCTCGATAAGGATTAACTTCGATGTCCAAGAACACGTTATCTCACAAAGGAGTTTGTGACAAAGCTAGCTTACTTGTATCCTCTCTCTCCCATGTTTATGATCTGGTGTCTAAGATCAAAACCAGCATTCCTACTTTTTTTTTCATTGCTAAAACAGGACACTCCAGTCACACAACAATCCTGTCCGACAAGCTGAAAATTCAACAATGCGATGGTTACACAATTTCAGCTTTGAAACCACATGCAGTGAAGCTTCATCTTTGGAGCTGTGAAAAGAAGGGTGATCCCTGAAAGATCTCGACTGGATGGCTTCAGTTTTATGTCTTCTAACAGAATTAAGCAGAGAAGGCACAGGCTGCCCTTGAACACAGCGATAAGACTGAAGCCTTGCCCGAGGCAACCTACTGTGTCTTCTGGTCAAAGGTGGGTTTTAACTCCTGCGTTCCTCCTGGAGTTCTGGAAGTCCCGCTGGAAGCCCCCAGCAGTCACGTTAACCCACAAGAAAGCTCAGAGACAGAACCACCCCTCTCCATAAGACGAGGCGAGCTCCCACAGCTTACCCGAATAATTCTGGCAGCCTCCAGCAGCACCCTGCTCCGCTCCATACCAGACATCTGACTCCATATTTTAAAGGCAGCCTTCGCACTCTGCACAGCCAGATCAACCTCCTTCTCCCCAGAGCAGAGCAGCTTGCTTATCACTCGACCTGGGCCCATTTTAAATAGAAAATAAATAAGACAGAAACTTCAGAAAAGGAGCACAGAGGACTATGGTTTATTGTGCATCAAACCCCAAAGAGTTCAGTCCAGCCTATAGCAGGCTACAGAACTTCATGTCACGGTTCCCGCTGATTTGTAATTGGTTACAGAAGAGGCATTGCAATTCAGAGACTAAATTAAAGGTCTGCCCTTCTGTAGAGAATCTGTAACTAACAAATTAGTTACTAATTAGCTCTGTTACAAAACTCCTCCGTTTCCCACAGGAGCTTGTTACACTTCCACCACCAGCTCCAGGACTTTGTTACACCTTCCTCAACATAGCTCAACTCTCTCTTCCTTGAAGCGTTTCTCCTGAAACCTAGGTACATACCCGTGGCCGGCTCGTACACCTCCTCGGCCTGTCCGCCGTCGGCGGGCTGAACGCGGCTTCCCGCCCGGTAGTTGAGGGGTTGGTGGATGGTGAAGGTGCCGGTAACGCTGCTCATGGCCAGGCTGTGTGGGAGGGCGCAGAGCCGGGGCAGCCGCGGGGCCCCCCTGTAAAACGCGGGGGGTCAACTTTTTTTTTTTTTTTTTTTTTTAAGTTCTCCATGAAAGAGAAGGAAGCACATCCTTTTTCCTCAAAACCAGAGTTTTCTGGCAGTCATAAAGTTGTTTTTTCATTTCCCATTCCATCCCGTAGATTCTTAGAATTCAGACCTTCCAGCAGCTGAAGCTGTTCTCAGTGCATCTTCACGGCTAACGACCCTCAGGGAACTGCTGCACGACAGCAGAAAGCAACCACAACACAGCAACAAACCAATAATTTTCAGATAATCCGTGGATGTGCAAATGCTTCCCTGCCAAGTGACGAAGCGTGGCAAGATGCAGCATCAGCAGATTTGCTGACAGCGGCAGGGAAGGTCACCATACTGCCCATCACCCTCCCGAAGCCATCACGGCACGGGCTGGCATCACGGTCGATCAGATTTAGCTTAGTTGGATCCAACAGCCGTACGCTGCAGGATAAACTACACAGGTAACAGGCTGGGGTGTGTCTGGCTTTGCTGTGGGATCAGGCCCTTGAACTAAGCGAGGCTACAGAAGGGGAAGGAGGATTACATGACCAGGGCTGCTCCCCGTGGATGGTTGTAGCTACACCAGGCGCAGTAGTAAGTCAAAAACACAGCCTGAGAGCCAGGCAGCACCAGTACACACCAGATGCTTTCCTTTACCTGCCAACTACTCGTTTTTGAGACGCAGAGCGTTGAACAGAGCTTCCACACTCATGATTTATCTTTAAATAATCTTGTAAAGGTGCCCCATCCTTATTAATGAGAATTAATCCAGTATTTAGTATTTAATACAGTATTGCATGTGCTCCACGCTGCCATAAAGTGTTTCATGTTTAGCACCTTGCCATGCATCTACTCAAAAACTCCCAGTAAGAGGTACCGCGTGATAAACCTCTGGTCAGGGCAGCAAGAGATCATCGGTCCCTAGGGGTACTGCCTGCTCCGGGCAGACTGCCAGGCTAACCTGAGAGAGGCAGCAAGACTTACCCCTTTTAAACAGGGTGAGCAGGCTCCGGCCAGCAAGACTGAAACAGAATTATTTGGCAAAGCAGAAGACAGTGCAGAGGGCTTCCTGGCCTAAGGAGGAAGGCTTTTCAGACACACACTGATCACCAGGCTGTGCAGCAGTAAACTAAGTAGCATTTTTGTTTGTGCTCCTGTCACAACCACTCAGGCAACGAAGGGTTCAGTAGGAGTAGATGGCACTGGCATAACTTCACAATTTACTCAAGTTTGAAAGCCAGGTTTGTTTCTGCAACGGAGCAGATTCTGCCTAAGCAAACAACTTCTACAGAAGCTCTGTAACGTCCCAAAAATCTCTGTGGGGCTGTACTCTGCCAGGAAGACACAGGCTGACGGTACATCCAGAAACACTTGCAACCTCCAAGGGCAGCCTGGCACTGGGGCATATGCTTCAGTGCCTCCAGTCACCCGAGTCAACAAAAACCCTCACCCTCCATGCTGGAAGCTCTGCAAAGGGAAGCTAAGCACACCTACTTGCCCAGCTCCCTACTACACAAGACTACAGGCAGTATGTGTAAGACAATACAGTTACTTCACAGAATGGTTGTTCTGAATTTTCCAAGTTCTCTGCTTTGCAGATCTTACTCTCGGTACCCGAGTTGATTTTCATGTTGTAGACTAAATCAAGTGCACTATATCAAGGTATTTCTACTTGTTCTACGGCACAATTAAGAGACATCTAAATCAACATGCCCATGCCATTTATTTCTCAGAAACACAAGGTCAAGTTATCCTCTGAGAACTTTCTTGGTTTGGTGAGCAAACAACCACTGGTAGAACACTCCAGGTGAAGATGTTTCCATGACTGTGGCCAATACTGCATCAGCTGGTTTTGCACATGTGAAGCCTGGTGCAGAATCCCATCTTGTTACCTCCCAAAGACAGTCTTGTGCACTGGTCAGACCATCCGTGAAGTCTGTAATTGTGCCCTAGGAGAACTTCCCTGCCTGAGGCGGTGGGCCAAGGAAGCCCCCTGCTTGCTTGGTGGCAGCCCGGGAAGGAGCAAGGCCGAGCATCTTCTGGATGTTCTGCGAAAAACAAGAACAGAAGAGCATGAGAGCATCAGACCATGATGAAGGAGACACCAAAAGAGAAAGAAATCCCAACTCAGCTTACAAGTACAACCTTCCCACTAGTTTCAACAGATTCGGGTTCTCACCCACACAGCCTTACCAGTCTGGCTGCTGTATATTGGAACTGTACCCCTACACAGTCAAAAAAGCTTAGCGCAGAGCCAGCCAGCCATCCACAATGGCTACAATCAGAGCTGGGCCACTCTCCCCACCTCAGCAAACGCCTTCTGATCATTACATCCACATTTTGGTGGAGGGTTCTCTTCCCCCTCCAGCTACACATCACACAGTCAGTGGGCAGGTACCTCGTTAATGTCTTTGTACACGGGCTGGTTTAAAATCAACCTACAATAATTACCTTTGCAGTTTAACTGCAGCGCACACACAGGAGCAGGTTCCTAACATCTGCGCCCAGACAGAACCAACGCAGCAGCCCTTGGTTCTCACAAGTTCCAGAAACCACTGTTGGTGGCGGCCATCAGAGCCTGAGGGTCTGCAAGCTGGCGAGGAAGGCTCTCTCCTAATGCAGCCAGAATTTGGGTCAGCAACACGGCAACCAGGGTGCGTGCCAAGCTCACGTCGGGAGCTCAGGCACAGAATTAACACGAATGCTAGTGATGCAGACAGAACAATGGTTCAGCGGAGACACACAGTATAACAGGACATATGTAGCAAAACTCAAAAACTGAGTGTCAAGATGACCTCATCTGCATCCGAGCAGGGTGTTTCAGTGGAAAACAACAAATGAGGAAAGAGTTAAGTGGCAGAGCCAAGCACTAGCTAAAAACTCACAACAAAAATATTTAAATCTGATGTTTTTCTTGATTTTTTTTGTGAAATTCCTTTTAAATTTTGCAGCAGTGCAACTACAAAGAGCTTCATCCTTCACTGTAAACAACTACAGCTCAAGATGCTACTCATGAAGTGCTAGCAAAACAGGGATATCTGATGCAAGGGAAAGAAGAAAACAACTGTGTCCTCCTCATGTCAGCAGCTGAGCCCTGGCTATCAAGATAACAAAAGGAGGAAGGAGGATTCTCTTCAAACCCGAGTGTCCTCCCCAGAATAACTGTCGAGATAGGTCAGACAGCAAGGTCGTAGAGTTCTTGAACTTTTTGATCATGGAAGGAGAACAAACTAAAAAAAGGCAGACAGAGCTTTGTAACTCCACAGTAGCTAAATCAGAAAAAAAAACATTGGGAATCGCTCCAGGTGGACACTATGGAAAGGAAGGTTTCAGTCTACACATAAGCATGAAAGTAAAGGAGGGGAAGACTTGAAAAGGAATTACATCAGGTTTAGTCTGTGGCCTACACAAATTAGCCATTGATTGATACTCAGCAACTGAATATATGAGTGCATTTCACTGTGGGAAACTGCTTCATGTGGTTCCTCTTCTCAGAGCTTCTTAGTCAAGAGATGGACAGAAAGGAGACAACAAAAGCAGCTAAGGGACAGACTCGGCAACAGCAGAGGGTGCTGCAGAGTCAGCAGCAGGCAGGACCAGCCTCCTACCACCTTTGTACTGGTCTCTCCCGTGAAGCAGAGCAGAGATCCGAGTAGAGCATCCATCGAAGCAAGGAAGTGTGCACTGCCTCCTCCCTGTTCCTTTGAGTATCAAGAGAGAGAAGTGTGGTGCTACAATTTACTCCATGTGCTTGAACAGTTCCAGGAGGAAGAGAGGTGACAGCTTGTCTACATGTGGATTCAAGACTACAGTCACTCTCCAGCATTATCCTTCCCTAGTAGTCCCCTCCTTGCTGTGGAGGTCAGCTCGCCTCCTGCATCAGCTGCAAAGCAAGGTTTGCCAGACAGCAGTCCTGACATCTACACAGCTGGAAACACCAGGGCTGGGGCAAGGTCCAGTAGAAGCCTGTCCCATCTGCTCTTGGCCACGTCGCACAAGGAACTCTGCAGAGTCTACTCGCAGCACAACCAAGACCATCACTTTCAGGAGCAGGGAGGGAAGACCGTAAGACTTAAGGATCCACATTCCTCATCTAAGCAATTCTAAACTTTCCTCAAGTGACTGCAAGAAGGACTGGAGCTGCTTCTGCTTTTGTCTTCAAACACTAAAGGGGCCTCAAAGACAAGGCAGCAAGTGGGTCCCTGCCCCAAGATCAGGCCCTGTGGGAAAGTGCACTCCTGGCTGTAGGAATAACTGCTGGCTCCCCTTTCCACCAGGAACATGTTTCAGAGAGAAGTGGCCTAATCTACAGTTCAGGCGTGTGTGAGAAGGAAGTGATGACCAGCAAACGCCTGAGGAACAGCAGCATATTCCTCTTCACAGACAGCACAGGTGAAGGCTGGGAGCTCAGAAACAGGAGCGGGGACAGAGGATGTAACCCTG